AAATCATTATTCAAACTGTAATGCAATTAATATGATTTTAGGACAATTTGCAAAAACCATCAAGTTTCAGTTCCGTAGTTCATTTCCACACAGTCATAATTCGGCTAAAATAACTATTCATGCTTAAGATAAATATCTTCTTTCCTTATTTTAAAATTATTTTTTCTTAAAATAGATTAAAATTTCAGAATGTTGCCAGAATGGCACCTACTAGAAGGCAAGATTGATTGTTAGAGAGGGATTTTGAAGTTTTCGGTTCTAAATAGATGGAGCCATCACTAGAGAAAATAGAATTCATGTATGCCACATGTTTTACACAGTTTTATAATTCTTGTATTTTTTATTAAACTAGCCAGTGAAATTAATAACTATAGTGGAGTTTTTCATTTAGCCTTGGAAGTCAGAACACTGATTCAGTTGTTCACAGTGGGTTGTTTTCCTTTCTTTTTTCCTTCTTGGCACTATAAATCATAAATCTAAGAATTGGGGTTTCAGTGTAACATAGTAATCAGCATAATTCATGTTTCCCATTGATATGGTGAAACTATTGCTTTAAAATTGCAGTTTGGGACAGCAATAACCTTCCCAGTACAAATCATCAGTGAGCTTCTAGGAGAGAACATGAAAAACTTAGTATCAGCACATACAGGTTTTTAGTCTCTGTCACTTAAGAATGGATGACCAGGTATCTATCAGAAATAAAACTACCTAAATTAAATCTGGGGGCTAGATTCTGCAGATTCAACAGAACCCACTGAATCAAGTATTTTCTAGAAATCTAAAAAAAAAAAAGAATGTTCCTTTCACTTCCACCTTGACTTTCCTTGTGTAGCTGTGTCTTACTTTGTGTCTTTTTCTGTAAAAAGATCTTAAGCACCTATAACAGTAACTTGCAAAGTGAAAAAAATACAAATAATACAAAATTTTCTGTTTTGCTCAAAAAGTTTACTATGACTTTCTCTAACCATGCATTGACAAAACCACTTTCCAAATAGTCAAACATGACAAAGCAACTTATAAAACATCATTTTTATATTTGGCTCTGATAGAACTGAAAATGCAAAGCTCAAAACACAGTATTTATAAAGGTTGCATAACTTGCTATCTAAACTCATCTACTAATCATGAAACCCGTGAGAGAGGCAGGTGGATTGTAACAGCAGATGAGATGAAGGGCCGTGATTCTCATACAAGGAAAGGGTTCAAATAATTGCTTGTTAGTCACAGAAAAACAATGCTGGAAGAAAACTGTATGAATAAATGAATGAGTGAACACTGGACTAATGAGCTACTTCCTCTGCTTGGCTGTATGAGCTCTCTGGGGATGACGACTCATTTAGTTACACGTGTGAACATGATGCAGAGTTAACAAGGTCTTGGTTTCTACCTGCTGCTCTGACTGCTGACACACAGTCCACTGACAAGGCCTGGGAGATGGTGTTGGATGCAGTGTCTTTCACAGCACCAAATGAGAACCATCTTCCTGCTCTGGGTCTGGTGAAGTGCAGCTGCTGTCTGGGTTGGGGTAGCAGATTGACTCCAGCGACAGAGGCGTGTGGAGCTAGTTCTGTGCTGAGGACCTTTGGGTGCTGACAGGTTTATACCATGGGGACGGCACCACACAGACCTGGCTGATGAACCCTGCGTGACCCTGGCCATCTGTAGCCTCCTCTACAGCACCAGGCAGCACCAGAGTGCTAACTGGCTCTCAGTTTACTTGTCCTCTTCTTTGTTCTCCTGCTTTTCTTCCCCACCCCCACCCCCAAAATGCCTCTCTATTCTTGTGTTTCCAAGGGAACTCCTCAGCTTGCACATGGACAGCCAGTTTGGGTTCAGAGGCATTCCTCCACTGCTCTTTTGCAAGAAGATAGACTGCAAAACCCCTATGGAGTCAGCCAGGGCCCAGTGTATTAACTAGCAAGGGCTCTTCCAAAGCCTGGTACAAGGAAGGCAATGCAGGCAGCAGGCTTGGAAGGGGGCTACCTGCCATCTGAGAGAGCAATCTCAGCCAGCATTGGTCTTATCAGAGCCAGGCTTAATTTAATCACTCATCTGCTCCCATCGAGCTCCCTGATCTTCAGGATACCCCAGGTCTCCATTTCCCTGAATGATGGAGAGATGACAGTATTTAATGAGATTAAATGTCATCTTCATTACATAAGAGCCTTTAATTATATCATTGAACATCATTTGATACTGAAGAAAAGCATGCTCTCTTAAATTTCAGGCAGTGACAAGGGGCCCAGAAGAACTGGGTTCCAGTCCTGGCTTTGCCAGGGGCCTCTTCTGGCAAATTAGGTAAGAGCAGGATAGCCACTGAATTAAAGATTGTGTAAGCAGTGCAGCTCAGACACTTCCTAACTGTAGGGAATGAGACTTTGCAACCTAAACACTCTGTGTATAATTATTAAATTGAAGTCGATGCAGAACCTTGACACATGAACGATTCTCAAGCCCTCCATCCTTTCATACAGCTTTACATTTCAAGCAATTACTTAAAAAGGATTGGATCAAAAAGCTGGTGCTTGCTCAAAGCCTCAGAATAGACCGTTCAACTGAAATCCAAATTGCTTTTTTTCTGGCTGATGCTGTGTTTCCATCACTCTGGATATTTTGGCTTGATACTCTCAGAACTAGATCTGTGTGTGCTGCTAAAAAGATGTTCAGGGCAAAAATTACGATGTTTTTTTCCCATATCGGAGAGTGAGTAGATAATAGAGTAGGAATAAGGCTCTATTTTTAGAGTCTAGCTTTTTAATTCATTAGCTGTATGGAAGTCTTCACAGGCAGTCACTTTTCTCTATTGGGTCAAGGCTGGTGAACAACTGCTGCATTACAAGGACAGAGATAAGTGAGAAAGTAGAGCTGTAACTCTTCCCCATCACTAATTACTTCATTCTAAGACCCACACAAAATCACCAGCAAAATCCCATGACCTTCTGCTGCAAGGAAGGAGCCAACTGCCTCCTCCATCAGCATCTGTGCCTTCTGCAGGCAGCAGTCCCGTGTCCCTCGCCCAGCAGCACACAGCTGCCTCGCAGAGACAATGCAAGGAAACAATTACACTCCCTGTTGATTACCGAGTCCCTGCTTTTCAACACAGCTAGTGCTGCCAAGTAATGAGCACTTCTTTTAGCTATGTGGAAGGGAGTTTACTACTTGCTTATTTAAAGAACACCCTAAATCACACAATCTTTTTACACATTCCTCCCCTCAGGAGAGCAGAAATAGTGCCTTTTCTTGGCCCTCACCTTGCACCAAAAGCTAAGTGATCAACTAAACTGGGTGGCTGACACAAAAGTGAATCCAGCCTAATAAAAGCTTACAGTCAACTTTATTTTCAACAGCACTTAATACCAGGCTGGTACTGTACAGTCCCACTTCTCTGCAGTTTAACTGTGGTATTTTGTCTTGCCTAGAAACCAGACAGCTCTTTTAATTACATCCAAAACATGCCTGTTCAGACTGAGAAATGATCAGTCCTGCGAGCAGAGCTAAGTAGGTGGCTTGGAAACAGATTACTGGATTCCTCCATGTCTTAATAGATATCACTGGTGAAATTCCTGATGTTTCCTCCTCCCTTCCCCTGCTCTCCTTTAGCTATACCTTAGTGTCCCTGTTTCAGGGAGACCCTTGGTGGGGTCAACTCAAGTTACAGCCTCTCCGTAGGACTCCTTTCTCAGATGACTGCTTTCCATCACAATCTTATGAAAAACAGACTACTTGCTATCTGTCAAACTTGCACGACAGGTTAAAAAATCAAGCAGGAAAGGCGGAGATCACGTAACCTCTCTCTAACCCGGATTTCCCAAGCCAACAACCGGCCTCCCCCCAGTTCTTCCTCAGTGTTTTGCCTTTTTAAAATACAGACTTTAGTGAAAGATAATTAGCCTTTCTGCTTCATGTGAATACTGCAATGTCCCTCCAAACCCAAAGCACTGTTTAACAGAGCATAAGACACTTCCACTGGGAAAAGATGCTAAGGCAATCTGACTTATCAAATACCTGGAATGAGCCACCTCATTCACCGAATGTGCTCTGAGGAACTTCCAGTACCTGTCCGACACCATCACAGGAGCTGCTCTCAAGAAAACTAGTGCTTCTTCACAGGAGAAGTAAAAAAGACCTCCCTTCTCTAGAGCAGACAGCAGTTTTTAACAGAAGATTCCTTTTGAATTTTGTCTTGTTTGGGTCAAATGAACTGCCTTGAGCTGTTCTCCCTGGCTTGAGGAACACGCTGCCAAAACATCTCTTCTTCAGACTACCACCCTCCTGTAAGAACTGGAAGCAGCAAGTACATTTTCTCAACTGAAGAGAAAATCTTGACACATTCCAGCCCAGCATAAAAAAATAATAATAAAAAAAATCATTCCTTATTCTAAGTTGAAGTTCCAGGAAGACCTGGAAGACACAGTTAATTCTTGGGCCTTCTATTGACCTTTCTGCCCATCACTACCCTAATGGACGTGGTACAGAATCTGTGGAAGCTAGGACAGCCATCCATCTAATTTACCAGCAAGTGCAGTTACTCTCTGTGTTTCTGTGCAAGCTGACTTCATGCTGAAAGGTCATACTGTAATTTCACATAAAGTGTGAAAACCCAAAGTAAATTAATTTATGATCATAACTGCCATCCAAATGTGGTTATTTCTAGCCACCTAACCATACAGAGTAAATAAGAATGCAGTTCTCTAACATCAGAGACGTTCTCTGTTCTGGTATCAAAAGGCAGATTTAAGAAATAGTCTCCACCACAAAATAAACAGGTTGGAATCTTGACAAATTAAGCAATATCTAGTCTACAGTGAGTATTTTATTTAGCCTAAAACTTTATCACTCTTTATGATGTGTCCACACTTACAATACTGTGCACTTTAATGAGCAGAGCAAGCTTTACCTTTCTGTTCTGGGCTTAAGTCGATTTATAAATGTTTGTAGCTAAGACAGGCCCAAGAGCTGGTTCGACACTGAAGATGTACAAAAAAACAGAACTTGAAAAATAAAATTGTCATGAGTATTTAATCACCTATAAAAAATAAACAAGCACTTTCAGTTTATATCCCACTGCACAGGATCAAAGCTGGCCTTCAGTCTAAGCACAGGACACAGAGACCCCAACCTTCACCAAAAGTGAAACGCGTCACAAAATTCTAAACTTGGGGCCTACAACCTTCATTAAGCATCAACTTACATTTTCAAAAGCCTGACAAACTATGGAAACAACGGAGCTCCTGGAGAACTCTACACTTGTGCACACACACCAAGAAGCAGCAGAAGCACTTGTGGAATTTAAGAACCCGCACTGGCTTTATTAGGTGGTTCCGTTTACAAGGATCAGCGGTAGCGGTGCAGCTGCAGGGTGTTGCGCCTCCTCCAGGCGGCGCGGCGGGAGCCACCGATGGTGTGGTGGAACTTGTGGCCCTTGCCAAGGCCACGACTCTTCCGCCCGGCCGACGTCAGCCCACGCATCTCCCTGTGCTTGTGGACGGGCTTGGTGATCCATTGGGTATCGGGGTTGCGTCGGATGGTCTTGTGGAAGGGATCAATCAAAATCACTTCAAAAAACTTGTAAGTGGAATCTTCACCAACCCAATACGAGTTCAAGACTCTCAGAGCCCCACAGTGACGGCCAGCACGTTCCTAGGGGAAAAAAAATAAATGCAAAGGGCTGTAAAACCATGGATGTAGGGTACTCTTCATGCAGAAAGATACGACTTAAACATAACATTCAATTTTCCCCAAGAGATCCTCTTTTCCTGAAAGAACTCTGCCCTCCAGTTGCAAAGATGCAGGAAAAGTAACAGCTGAAAGGAATGCTGTGTTAAAAAAAACCAAACAAAACAAAAAAAAGACTGTCTGGATTCCTACACGAATCAGCTTTTAAAGAACATAAGCAGGAAGGTGCTTGGTTGACAAAAGAAAGAACTCTTTTTACACAGAAGAACCAACCAGTAAATACAGCATTAAAAGTAACTTTAATACGAAAAGACGAGCACAAGCCGCCACTTGGGGCCACAGAACAATCTTTTGTGGGAAGTTATGAAAGCCCAATCAATTTGCACACCCAAAGCTACAGGGGAGAAAGACATTTCTGCAGAGAATAAGCCTGTACTGGTAGGAGAAAAGGAATAGCTGATGTAACAAATCTTTGTACCACTGCTGGCATATTAGTGCTTGCTATTCCTATCATCACTTGTGGTTGGAAAGAAGCAGTCTTAGTTTAAAAAAAAAACAAAACAAGGCAGAAAATAACAATTATGCAACTCCATCTGCCTGTCCTGTCAGGAATGCTCCTAATTTAAAACACTCTGTGTTTAATTGTAGGACTTTATCACCACCATGGGAAAGTATGAACTAAGGGAACACACTCATCTGCTTCCCCAGTGTGATCCCAACCTCTTGCTCCAGGCTCCCATTAAACAGTACTTGACTATTTTCTGCACATGTAATAACATTTTTTCAAGTCCTTGTTTTATTCTAGAAGTAAGAGCAACACCTGTACGAAACACTGAAACACCAACCACCCTCAACCAGCTTCTGTGCGGGGATGGGAGCTCCAATCAAGGCTATGTATTTCTGTAATCTGAAAAATTTAAGTCTTCAAGGAGAGAGTATGTCAGATTGAGAAAATTTCAAGCTAAAACTGAGGGAAAACAATCTCTTGCATAGTTGTCACCTCAAGTGAGCATGTGAGTAGCCATCAGGTATCTGGGAATAGCATATATGAAGAGAATTCCACGATAACACAGAACTGCATTTTTAACTTGAACTCATCATCTGTGTTTCTTTCAAATAAGTTTTTTTTTTCCTTGGAAAAAATATCCCACCATATTCAACCTGATGAAGTCACTTAGGAATACTTCTGAAGTCTTGAGAACAGAAAAGTCTTCTGCTTCAAGACAGAAAGGCAACAAGCAGTCCCCCTGTTAATTCTAACCCACTGAAAAAGTTTTTTTGTAAAGGTGACAACCACATCTCTTCCACACTACTACTGTGAACACAATGTCTCACCTAAAAATAACCTCACCACCAATCTGTGTGCTAGTGGGGTACCCAATTTTTACAAAGAACCAGACAGTCTCTGGCAGGTGCTTTCAGATCCTACGATACAGCCAAGTACAGCAGGCACCACTCCTACTACACAAATGGGGGCTACAGGCTTTAAGACAGGAACTCACCTCTACTTTGTGAAAGGACCCTCACCTACAGCTGGTAATACATACAACACGGCAGGGAACAGAGGTGGGATTTACTGACAAGTCAGACACCTTAGCGTATTTGAATTCTTATTTCCCATGCCTAACTCTTTAATTTACTGTGGCTTGTACCACTTACCTATTTTTATTAGAAATACTGTGGCATACTTTAGAATTATACACTACGAACTTCAATAAACCACCTAAGTTTCCCGAGGTTCCCCGAGACCCCCGAGAAAGAATTCAAGATCTTTTACCCAACATATTAACAAAACAGCTGATTTGGGCTTTTTTTTTTTTGTCTGTGTTTTCAGCTTTTACAGACTAAGACCTTGCTACCCAGATTTGTTAGCAGTAACCAGAAAAACTCACCTCTGCAACAGACTGAAGGCTGCGGGCAAACTTGAGCTGATTAACACCGTGGTGCACAGGTTTGCCATAGGTGGCACCTTTCGGGACTGGGCGCTTGCGGCCACCACGGCGGACACGGACACGGTAGATCACGTAACCTGAAAGAAATGGCAATGTAAGAACTAGGAGAATTCTGGCAGCAATTTTGATGCCCACACTGCACTTCCAACCCCCAAATGTTTACATAAAATGCTGCAAGATTAAAGTCATTATAACAACCTTCACCGAAACTTACAGCTGGAGGTGGGTAGCACAAGATGTTTTCATTATTTTCATCACAACAGAGTAAAGGAAGTGATATCCTCTGGCAACTAGTTTTTGGTTCCAAACCACAGCTTATGGCACTTTTTCACTATTCAGTCTCAAACAGACTAGGAACAGCTACAGCTACATTGTAACATGATTACAAAAGTAAAAAATTTAAAAAAAAAAAAAAGGACAAAAATCACCCCAGAACACCCAACAAAGCCACCACCCAAACCCTGAAATTCCATACTCTGATAGCAGCATTGATAAAGCACTGAAGCACAAGCCATCCACAAATACTGTTGAAATCTAATCACTGAAAAATGACCAGATTAGATGAATGGTGACAGAAGTGTAGAGTCTCAGTTTATTTTCCTAGTGAATAAACATACTGTTTTTTGTAAAAGGATTTGCTCAAGTTACACACAGATGGCCACTTTCCCCACTCCCTTCCCTAAGCAATAACTGTTTTCCAATGACAAACTCCACCATCTTGCTTACTCAAGTGCATGCGGCTGTAACAGAGTCATGGAATCATAGAACGGCTTAGGTTGAAAGGTACCTGAAAGATCATCTAGTTCCAACCCCCTGACATGGACAAGGACGCTTTCTGCTAGAGAACGTTCCTCAGAGCTCCATCCAACGTGGCCTTGAACACCTTCAGGGATGGTGCAACCTGTTCCGGTGTCTCACCACCATCACTAACATTCTTCCTAACATCTAAGCTAAACCTACTCTCTTTCAGTTTGAAGCCATTCCCTCTTGTCCCAGTCTTGTACAAATACCTCCCCAGCTCTCTCGTAGCTCCCTTTAGGTACTGGAAGGCCGCAATTAAGTCACCCTAAAAAAAGTCAAAGTAACACCTGACAACGCTTGGGCAGAGAAAGGACAAACCCAAACCCAAGACAGGACTGCTCAGCTCTGCAGTATCAACAGTGCACAACACCTGGGGCCAAAGCCCACTTGATCTTCATCTGCCAAAACAGCCACAGAAGGGGCAGATGGAAAATTAAGGGGAGTTAGGTTTTACGCTGTGGATGTTGCTACCAATTGAACATGTCTATGATACTCAGCAGATTTTATACTGGACATGAAACGGTTGGTTTATTGGGGGACACTTCAGTTTCGGGTTATTATCCTGCTGTCACTTATGGAAGCTGATGAAAGACCAGGTCACTGCATCCATGGGCTTCACCTCTCCACGCCATTACCTTGCTTGGCCTTGTAGCCCAGGCGGCGGGCTTTGTCCGGGCGGGTGGGGCGCGGTGCCCGGTGCAGGGCCGACAGCTGCCGGTACTGCCAGCAGCGCACACGCAGCAGGAACCGCATCACGTCCGACTGCTTCTTCCTCCACAGCTCCTGGATGTACTTGTAGGCACCCATGTCTGCCTACCTGCTGAACAGAGAGAGGCCGGTGAAAACAACGCAGCACCAAAACCGGATCCCAAGCCCGAGCATCTTCCACCACCAACACTGCGTAAAACCACACACGGAACACCATGGAGAGACAGGGAGCTCACAGGCTCCTCTGCACCGCTGGCACAACCGGAAACAGGGATCACACTTGGCAACCCTCAGCAGTCACCATTCCCAGCAATTTTCCTCCTTTTCATGTGTCCTGAGGTGTTAAAAACTCCTCCACTGAGAAAGTTTCTGATGTGCTATGTCTGATACTACTGAAAACAGCATTCAACACCTGAAAGGAGCTGTAAATATCAACCTACACAGAACCAGGGGAGTGCAAGCACTGTAGTCTTTATTCTTAACACTTACTTTAGTTAAGGTTTCACTGGCAAGTGAAAGCTTAACAGCTGCCTAAGAGATGGAAAGAACTGCCTTGGGACTTCTGTTCCCTCTGTGCTATTCCCATCGTGCCTCCCACATCTCAGGAGAGACAAGGCCTTTCTCCACATCTGCTTTAAGCAAAGGGAGGTGTACTGCTTGTGTCACACATGGAGCAAAAAAGTAAGTGCCACAGCTAAGCGTCCTACTGATGGTGACACCTGAGCCTGCGTTCTGCTCCACAGATGCCTCGTGACTTCTTTTGTTTTAGATTATTTTTAAAAAATTATTTCTGATAAGTACCATCAGGGTCAATTTGTATTGACTTCAGCAGAGCAAGGACTCAACACGAGGTTCCTACTTTGCCCGTAAGAAAACAGCGACTATTACAAACCCCCTTTTCTCTGAGTCCAACACTGCTGAAAAGCTCTGGGCGTTTCAAAAATCAAGTACTACTTTATATTTTCACCACGTTTATAAGCATTGCTTTATATTTTCATCACGTTTATTGCTGGTTCCCTAGAAACCTGAGGTCTCACACGCCTGCAGCAACCAGCACGTGCACCTGCACTGCATCAAACCCCCACCCAACTCACCACCAGGAACACGCAGCCCATTTTATTTACATTAAAGGGAAAATAAACAAACCCAGCTCGTGTGCGATCTGGATACCCCTCGTGTCCGAACCCGCCCGGCTACGGCTCGTCCCTCCCCATCCCCCTGGAGGCCCGCCTTTCCCCCCACTTCGTTATCTCACAGAACGCCGCGAAGGAACCGCAAAACCGGTGCCAAAGCGCGGCCTGAGGGTTCCGTCAGTGGCCCGCAGCCGCCACGTCCCGCCACGGTCCCCCAGCGGGTATCCCGCGGGTGTCCCCGCCGCTCCTCCTCCCTTTCCCTTCCCGCCCCGCCGCGGCGCGCCGCGCCCGGCCGCTCCCGCCTGGCGGCTCCGCGCCTGGAGCAGCCCCGCGCCGGCCGGGTCGGGGCGGATGCGCGGCGGGATCCCGGGATGGGCGCGGATGGAGGGAAAGGCCGCGCGCCGAACATTCCCTCACCTGATGGCGCCCGGCACCGGAAGGGAAGGAGCTGCCTCCCCGCAAACCCTTGCGGCGGGGCCGCGCTTCCGGCGGCCGCCGCGGGGCCTCATGGGTGATGTAGTCCCGGCGGGCGCGGGGGGCCGGGCCGCGCGGGGGGAAGAGGGGGGCGGGCGGGAGGCAGGGGCGTACGCCATCGGGAGAGAGGGGGCGTGGCCAGCGCCGGTCAACGGGTCCGGCGCGAGGCTCTGCCCAGGTGCGCGCGCGCTGCCGTGAGGGTGGGGACGGGGATGGGGTCGCGCGGGGTCCGGGATCTGGGACAGGACGGGGTTTTCGGCGGGATGCGGCATCCTCTGGAAACATCCCCCCAACCCCATTCTCCCTCCCCCAGGGTAGGGATTGGGTGGGGGTGGGGCCTACGGGACTTCCCTCAAAATCCCGCAAAAGAAACCTTTAAAAAAAACCCTCCACAAACCTCTAAAATAATAATTAAAGAAATCATACATTTGTTCAGGCTCGAGAAGAGGAGGCTCAGCGGCGGGTGCCTTATTGCTCTCTACAACTACCTGAAAGGAGATTGTAGGGAGGGGAGGGGTGTCAGTTTCTTCTGCAACCAGAGGACCAAAGGAAATGGCCTTTAAGGCGAGACAGTGGAGATTCACATTAGATATTAGGAAAAAAAAATTCACTGTTAGAATGGTCAGGCGTTGGAATGGCTTGCCCAAGGAGGTGATGGAGTCACCATCCCCTAGAGGCATCTGGATCTAGAGCTGGGTGATGTGGTTTGGGGGTTACAGGGATAGTGCTGGATTGATGGTTGGACTGGATGATCTTGAAGGCCTCTTCCAACCTTGATGATCCTATTCTATTCCAAATAAGAAACCCTAAGGGCTGAAAAAGCCCTAAAACCAACTCCCAAACCTTATCAGTAGGGGTCAAGGGGTAAGGAGCCCCCAGAGCTGCAGCCCTGGGGGATGTTTCCTGACATGGTGAGCATGAGCAGCCCCAGGCTGGGGCCAAGGTCGTGACTTTACCCATCAATCTCCTCCCATCCCTCCTGTGCACAGCGTCACTGAGTGACCTGGTCTGGTGGGTGGCCTCCCTGCACGTGCCAGAGGGGCTGGAAGGAGAGGATCTGTAATCTCCCCTCTAACCCAAGACATTCTATGTTTCTATGAGTTAGGCTTTCCCAGCCTGCAATTCCTTCCTGCCTCTGGCTGCAGGATGACCTTTCTGTTTTTCAGTGTATGCTTTGCAGAGCACCCTGGCTTGTGAAGTGTTACCCCGTTAAAGGAATTGAAGAAGGACAACACCAGCCCCTCCTCATCCAAAAAAAAAGGTACTCTTCATCTCTCTCTGTGGCAAATGGCTCCAAACGACAAACCAAGTTGTGGTCTGCTGCCCTGCCGTGGCTCACTGGCAGAGGGAACTGCCCCTGGCTGCTGGACACCTCCTGCTAAATCCAACCCCCACCCATCCAAACTGGTTTAAAGCAGACTGAGAAAAACCTGCTTCTCCATTTGCTTTCCTGTACTTCTGCCTTTAACACTCCTGCTTTGTAGGTCCTAGTCCGTAAAACTTAGAAGCTTTCTGTGGGTGAAATGAAAGGGAGGGAACCACCATTTTCTTGCATTTCCAGAACCATCCTGGTACCATCAGGTACCATCAGGCCCACTGCAAAACCAGGCAGCCCAATCACACGGTGTTACGCACACGCCAACAAACACAGCCCCTGCCCCCGGGGCCTTCCATGCCGAATCACTCACAGCCTCCCTGAGCCTGACAGGACAGGCGTCGAGGCTGCAGGCAGGCATGAGCACCACCGGCAGCAGCCTAAAAACCTTAAAAAATGGTGTGGGAGGAAACTCCAGTCCTAAAAATATCAGTCTCTGGCGAGCGCCTGGGAGGGAGCTGTGCCTCCGAGTCACCCGCTGCTTCGCGCTTTGCCTCTCGCTTTCCGTGGGCTCTGCTCCCATCGGGAGCCGACCCCTGCCGCCGTGCCAGGCTAACAGCCTCCTGTGTCTGCACAGGGCTCGCCTGCTGACTCTGCTCCCCTGGGAAAGATGGGAAAGGGATACAAAGTGGTGGTTTGTGGAATGGCCTCAGTGGGAAAGACTGCGATTTTGGAGCAGCTTCTCTATGGAAAGCATACTGTTGGTGAGACATTTTTACTTTTGGGGGGGAGGTTGTTTCCTTTTCCAGTGTCCAGTTCTGTGTGGGCCCCAAAACACCTGTAACTGAGTACTCTCAACTGCAGTGAGGTGAAGGAGAAAATTAATGTGGTTTTGTTGCATGTCTGGTCAGTTCTTGAAATTTGTAGTCACTGGCAGATTTTTAAAAGAGCCTTGAAGAATAACCCTTTCCGCGATGTTCCCAGTTATAAAACATGAATGTTTAAAAAGAAACAAACACAAGAAAGTAGGTGATGTGCTTGCTGCCTATTTACATAAGAAATATCTCGTTCCCTGAAGATGCCATAGATGCCTGAAAAATAAATAGATGTCATATGATGAGTGGGGACACTGTTTAGACTTTTGTTTCATCTTCTTAAAGCTTTATTTTGCTTGGTTTTGGCTAACATTTAATCAAAGCTCTGGCAAGAAAAACAGCTCAGCTTTAGGTTCCGCGTTCTGTGCTGAAGTTGAAGGCCAGGCATCTCAGCTCTCAAAGAAATCCTACTGTGGAAAACAGACTTGACAGTGGAGCAGGGGATGTCTGAGATTTTCTGTGCACAAAAGAAAGGGAACAAAGGCAAGACCAGCATGTTTCCCTCTGTTTCCACATGACTTGGCTTTGAGAGGAAGGGCAATGATCATTAAGCTGACAAATTTTTCCTGCCTCACCCAGAAACAAGGGGTGGCACCAGGGTTTTGACAGAAGATGCCCAGTCAGTATGCATCTTTTTCTTGAGTTGTTAAATTAGACCTTGGTATAAGTTACTGCAAACACACCAGGATTTCTAGAACGGTGCTTTGCAGCACTGCACCTTTAAAATGTGTGGATGGGAGGAATTTGCTGGCAAAGCGTGATACAGAGCTGCTTGCTAATAGCCGTGTTTAAAAGGAGGATTTCCTCTAATGTTGCAGCAACATCTGTTTCCAGCATCCTACCGAGCGCCACGCACGTAGCCCCGTGTAGCTTTCAACGTGAAGGCTGCAAAACCCGGAGGCTGAAGGTTTTTCCCTGTGCTACCAACCTGCCTCTCTTCCGCGCTGGGCCGGGTGATTGTCAGGGACACCCGAGCAGCATGAGCAAGGCCACGTTACTTAAATCGTATTGCCTTGCATTAATTCCTGCCTCCTATTAGCAACCCAGGCAGGAAGGATATTCGGGTGTTGCTGATCAGAGGAGCTATTTATGGAGCCAGCCATGTACGTGATTATACAACATCATGGATACTGGCTGACATAACCAGAGGGAGACCTTGTGCCTGGAGTTTAGCTGTGGGTGTCCCTCTGTCGCTCCCAAATGCTCTGCTCCATCTTGGCCATTGAGAAACGCAGAGCTCCACCCCCACATCTTAAAAAAATCAGTTTTCCTTTCCTGCAGCTCTGCTCTTATTTTCTGGAATTACTAGAAAGGGAGGGAGCAGCTGGGGAGAAGGAAGAAGGTAGTCTCCTGTTTTCTGTGATTATAGTCAAATCTTATTCCCAAGACATTCAGAGAAGAGGGCAAACAGCAGGGTCAAGATCAGGATATGGAGAGGGCTCATTATGAAGCCCCTATAGCCCCAAAGGCTGTGGCCCAGCCGTTTTGATGTCACTCATGTGGGCCATCAGGCACATTTAAGGGGATGGACTGGTAAATTGATGTTTTTTTGGCAGTCTTCCTGAGTGGTCATCATCCTCCCTGCCTCTTTCTCAGCACATGGGCATTGTGGCAGAGGATGCCTGAAGTATGGGCTGGTGAAAATGTTTCCCATAAGATCTTCAGCTATTCTTCCACTCTGTACTGATTTAGCCCTCAAACTGCAGAGGCAGGACACCACTGTGAGGGTCTCACTGGGCAAGGACAGAGTTCGAGGAATGGCAAGTCTTTGATTGCTCCTTAGCTAAGCTGCTTTAAACTGCACAGACCCATTGCTGGTGCTATCATTGCAGGGGTAACCTTTCCACACTTGAAACATGATTACTGGGTCACGATCCTCGTTTCCTAAAGCTTGCGAGCGCCAGAAAGCTGACATGTACATTCTGGCTTCTGGCCTTTTTGGCAGGAGGCAAAAAAGACTAGTGTGTTTGCTGAAAGCCTGTCTGTTCAGAGCCAACCAGCAAGGCAGATCACCGGGCATGGCAACACGGACACAAGCTGTTTCAAAACCTGTGCTTCCTGACTGACGTCAGGAGCAGCTCCGTGGCCGGTCTGAGGTCCGGGGAGCCGTGGCGAGGACTGCTGAGCCAATGCATGGAGTCTTTCCATTTTGATGGCATGCACATCCTCCTCCCAGTGACAAGAGGCATGCCTGAACTTAGTTGGAGGCTCAGAGCACAAGGTCTGGTGCCGTCCTCTGAAGTGTTACGGCCATTGACACGAGGGGTTCCTCCTGGCTGTAAATCAGCCATGTGTCTATGTCAGTGCTCATATGCCTCCTAATGACTTTCCTGTAAAAAGAGTGGAGACACAGCTGCTGTCAGGGAAGTGATTGGAGTCCTTGGAGGTTTCACGCTGCTATGTAAAGGCCTTGGCTTTGAGCCCGTGCTCCTGGCTATGCGCTTGGTGATGGTGCTGTAAACCCAGTTGCACTGTGTTTCTTTTCCTAGAAAAATGTGCACCTTCAAGTCTCCCTGGCTTGTCACGGATGAAGTCCCTAAGTGCCGCTGCTGCTCACATGGTCAGCAGCTAACACTCTTGCAAAGGCACTAAGATTACTTGGGGTCAAAGAGGAAAAAGTACTCAGGAGGGAGGAATAACTCTGTGGCATATGAGCAACAATGTGTGGTACTGAATTTTGTGCTAGGCTTTAAACTGCAAGTGAAGCTCTTTGCCTTGTGCCCCAGGTTGGGAAGGGAGAGGGCAAAAAGATGAGAAATGCTCTCAGAGCCACATAAAATAATGTACATATTGCATGGCAGACTCCCTTG